ACAGCTTTCAAAGGAGGGAGCCAGCCAACTGTCCTACCCAGCTATGATGTCTATGAACCACGACCATGAGCAGAAGGACACAATAACTCTAAGGATTCAGTAGTGCCATGCATACCATGGCAGTAACCAACAGCTCTAATTGAACCTAAAACCCCCTCAACAAGAAGAAACCTAGCCAGCTTCCCACAGCTAGTGAAGTCATGGATCTTGGAGAAGAACCTATAGCCACCACTTTACTAAACCAGCACCGTCTGAGTACATTCCAAATAATTGTCCTTGTACTCACAGATGGATGTATTCTTATGCCTCATCAAAGAAACTTCTCTTTCTAACAGTCAGAGACCATTGCAGAAACCATAACTAATCAAGATGCAGAGTTGTGGAGCCCAGTCCCAGTGGATAAATACAGCTACAAAGCGACTCGTACACCTAAGCCAAGGCTCAGGGAATATTGCTGAAGAGGGGCAGAAAGATTTTAGAGAAGCAGGAAGTTTACTGTGTGTGGGAAAAGAGTTTATAACTTTTCAGAATGTCAATCATAGAGCCATCACATGACTCAGCAGTTCCGTTCATAGCTGTACGAGCAAGGAACAGACAAACACGTCTCTACAAAGACCTCTGTGTAAGTGTTCCTGACTGCAGTAGTCATAGTCAGTAAACCATAGAAATACCTCTCGCCCACACATCTGTCAGCTAGTGAGTGGATATTCAAATGGTGTGTATCCGTGCAGTGGAATATGAAGAGCCCAATCATAAACAGCTCTATACTCTATGATTCCATTTGAATATAGTAACCTGATATGCTAACTTATAAGTCATGTATGGTCTACAGCAACAGGAAGTGGATTAAAGATCGCCTAGGACTGGGGATAAGTGAGAAAATGGGGAACAGCTACTGCTAATGGGTGTGTGGGTGTTCATTGAGATGATAAAAATGTAAAATTGTAACAATAGTTGTACTACTCAGGAATATTCTATCAACTACTGAGTTGTACATTTCATTTTCTTTTATTGTGATACTGGTGATAAACCCCAAGGCCTCACACAAGCAGCACAGATACTCTACTGCTGAGCTGCACCTCAGCTTTGCTAGACACACTTCAAAGGAATGAAGCATATGCTATTTGAAGTCTGTCTCAGTAATGCCCAAAGAAGATGTGCTCTGAACACCTAACTTTAATTTGCTGTTCTTCCTGGGAGCCTAGGACTGCACTTACGTTACAGTCGTTTTTCCATGTCTGTCTTTCTTAACCTCTATACATCTGAACCTTCCTAGAGTTTCTCTGGCCTCTTAATGTACTGTGTTCTTTTGGACACCCCTGTCTTTGCTGTGCTTTTCTTCCATTTAATTTGCTAATCTCACCTCGCACACAATTATTTAAAATGATCTAGAGCCTTCTTTCTGCTTTTTGTTTCCTTTTTCTTTAGATTGTATATGTAAAGATGTTCTGTTAAGAATAGCTATGCCTTTCATTTCAGCATTCAGAAGGCAGAGGCAAGTGGAATTTGAGTTTGAGGCCAACCTGGTCTGTATAGGGAGTGGCAGGCCAGCTGTGACTGTGCACTGAGACCCTGTCTCAAAAAAATTCTAAAATACGTGTTGAAGCTTAACGATGGGGTTGGAGTCTTGAGTGAAGTCTGTGTAGGAACTTATGCTGTGCTTGTATTTCCTATAGTGTATCTTTGGTAATGTTTTGAATAGGAGATGAAATATTTTTAAATAAATACCAGGGAAATAAATTCACAGGAAATGTGGTTTCCTGTGAAGGTTGTTGAAGGAGTGAGACTGGGAAGAAGGGAGACCAAGGAGAGAGGAGGAGAGCATAGGAGGAAAGTGTGTCTTACAGCAAGGTGTAAGCGCTTGCTCGTTCCCAGCCCAGCCTGGGCCTCACTCGGCCTTTGGAGACTCTCCTTTTTTCCTTCCCTGTCATGGCTTCTTGAGATTCTTGTTACTGTCCAACTGTCTCAGTTGCTGCTTCTTTCTAGTGAGGCTGCTTGTGCCTTCCTTCCTTGCTCCATGTTTTATTGCCTTACTTTAGTTCCATGCAAGCCCCTTTTCTCTTTTGAACTTTCTGTTTGTTGTTTATTCAAGACAGGTTCTTCTGCCTAGATTGGTTTTGAACTCACTGTTAGCTGAAGCTTCCCTTCTTCAGCGCGTACTCCTGCTTTCTGCCTCTCAAGTGCCCGGATTACAGGCATGCACCCGTCACCAGGCTCATCCTGAGCCTTTTGTCTTAAATTTCCTAGTCTCATTTTCCTAATTTTTACAGTAGTGCTGGTCTCAGGCTTTTGTCATTTTCTTCTTGTGTTGTTGAGGGAAACCAGCTCTTCATGCAGCCTCACATTTCTCACAGCTTCACACTGCTTTGTCCTCAGAAAGCTTTTCTAAAGCCTTGCCTTTCTGTCTGTGGCCCCTCTGGAATGTTTCTGAGGAGCCAGCTTCCATTTCCAGGGTCCCCTTGCATCGCATGCCCACATCTTCCTACTTTAGTGTCTGTTCAACCCTGAGGCAGGTATGTGTTGTAGATGACGTGACCTGTGTCTTTCCTTGCAGATACAGAAAACTGTATTTGTTAGATCTGTTGGGGTTGGAGGTGAGAGTAAGGTTTAGAAATTGCTTTATAAGGAGTTCCTAAGAGGTTTTTAGCTAAAAAACTTTTCCTTTTATTTTATATGCGTGGGTGTTTTACCTGCATGTATGTCTTTGCACCATGTGTCTGCAATATTTGTGAAGGCCTGAAGACGATATCAGATACCCTGGGACTGAGCTACAGCTGATTGTGAATGCCATATTGGTGCTAGGAATCAATCAAGGACCCTCTGGAAGAATATCCAGTGTTCTTAACTGCTGAGCCATCTCTCTAAACCCTCCCCTCCCCT